TTCTGTTTATCCCGTAGGTATAAGGTTCAATACTAACTCAGAAGCTAACTTAACTCTTGCAGCACTGTTAACAAAACAAAATTTCAAACATTTAACATTAATCTTAATGCTTGTTACAATCCTACCACAAATAACAATATTAAATCTCATTCTGGTTTCATGGTTGAGAGTTGGGGAGGTGAAATAAAAAAAAAAAAATCTCATTCTTTCAGTAAGCACAGAGGGCACAGTTCTTGGCGCTGCAAATTAATTCAATGGTAATTCTGCTTAGAAAAATCTTACCCTTTTCAAAGGAGATGTGTACACTGTTTCTTTTAAAGACTGATTCCCCTCACTATCCTATTTTACCTATCAGAATCTCAACCCTTCACATAACATGTCAAATTTTATGTCAAGTTTTAACAACCAAAACTCTGCAGTAGTGGGGTTATCATGATGCCAAGAGTCTTTCACCCCATCAACAGGCAGTGCAATAAAGAGGGCTATTCCAGGAAATGCAAGATCAGCTCAGCAGATACATTTCCTATCCACGTCCAGATGGATTTTGTCAATTTGGGAACTGACAAAATCAAAAGGCCAGATGCACAGGATAGATCATAGGAAGGTGAGAATTGTGCAAATACCCATACACACACCATCAAATCCCTTTTCCCAACACATTACTCCTTTGCTAATTTCAGCTTTACACTTTCCCTACATCTCTCTCTCTCTCTCTCCACACACACACACACACACACACACACACACACACCTATCCTCTCTTTAGTATATTTTCATACAACAGCTTGTGATACAGAAATATTAAATCTCCTCAGCCAATGTCCTTCATCTTGCCTTGCAGATCTACTGTTATGTCATTCTTGCAAACCAGGTCTTCGTAAATGTTAAATGTTTCCGTATCATAACCCTTGCTTTCTTTAAAGGAAGTGAGATAATTCCAAAGTACGTGGAATGAGAAATGTCCTATATTCTGGCCCTATGAAGTAGGCCACAATTTGTTCTGAAACTTATTTGATAACCCATATACAAAAAAAATTCCAAGGCCAAAGAAATTATCTAACTAGCATAGAACATTACTCAAATCACAAACTCACCTTCTAGTATCTAAAATGCCCCATACCAGACAGGGCCTCAGCTAATGCCATGTTCGAGAATCGCTGACTGAGTTGTCATGCTCGGCACAACACAGAGAACAAGAATCTGTGGACTCAAGGCTGACGGTGGGATGCAGTAGACGCCAATAATGCAGCTCCCCGGGCTTGGGTTGGGGCATTCCACTATGTCTACTCTTTAAAAGAAAAGACATCTGATTCTAAGTCTTCGACTTTTGGCGCACTATGCTTAGTCATTAAAAAGAGATCGATCCACTTAACACCTATACACCTTCACTATCTACTTCTTCTTTGAAGACTTTAATCACTTTAGGACCGCCCCTTAAAAGTAGGCGCTGCTGCATCTGCACAGCAGCTGCAATGGTGGGATATTTCCTGCGACACTAGACAGGTAGGTAAATAAAGCAACTGCATTCGCTGAGGCAGGGGGAGGGGTCTTCCGCCAGTAAAGAGTTTACATAATGCAACAAAAAACCAGTGAGCTCTGCAGACCTGTCAGTGGATATGCAAGGCACTCTTTCCACCATCTCAACACACTCTCGCCTGCTCGTGTCTCCCAAAGACCCCCAGAAATCACACCTTGTATAATAAACCGTACACGGTCGCCCCATGCTTTCCTATCCACCTTTATTATTAAAATACAAAAGAGAAAAAGAAAAAGAAGAAGAAAACCTCCCTAAACTCCCAGTTGTGAGTCCAAAGTATGGAGTAACCAAACGGAGCCGGGGAGTTTGCCCTCCTCGGAAGGGACAAGAAGAACAAGGAGCTGCCTCAAATCTACACCACGCCCAGTAATGCAGTGACAGGCCCTCAAATCTCTCCCGCGGCCGGGGCAGCCCCTTTCGCCTCCAGGCCCGGCTCGGGCCCCGCAGCCCCGCAGCCACCCTCTCCCCCGGCCTTTCACAAAGGAGAATGGTTCAGTCCAGAGCATCACCCAGCACCTGATCCCTCACGACTCGGGGACGGGTAGGGGCGGGGGAGAGAGGAGGAGGATGAGTTACTAAAACCAATTCTAACAGCACAGCTTTTGCAGAGACTGTAGAAGCGGCAGTGAGGGGCGGGCGTGTGCGGGATGCCTACCTGAGCCAGTCCTGCGGCTTCCTTTCCAGCCAGCGCTTCAACTCACCCTTTCGGAGAACAAGGCGCCTTCCGGCGGAGCATGGCCAGCCCTCGCCTCAACCTAGCTTGCTAGTAGTCCATTCTCCCCCTTGGCCCCGCCCACGTACGCTCCCCCCCACCAATAGCAGTGCCGACGTCAGGCCTCTTCCAGCAGGGTAGTGTGAGCGCCATCCAGGAAGTCTCCTGAGGGTGGGAGGTCCTAAAAGGCTGCGAAGGGTACTAGGCAACCACAGATATGCCTGATTGAAAATAAAATCCAGCGGTAGCTCGCTGCTGACGGCTCAGTTCACAGGCGTTTAGGCCTCTCGGCATCTTTTTTCACCCCCGCCGTTGGGGGCGCTCTAAACGAAACAGCATTTAGTTACCTGTTTCTGGGAAGCCATCTTGGATCGGGCTAGTGCCTTGGGGGCCGGTTAATAATCTGCAGCCCTTCTCGCGTTCTCTTGGATTATTTAGGTCCAGCCCCACATACTCTGCTTTATACAGTCAGAAAGTGCTTCAGTCAGGATGGAGAAAAACTCTGTAATAAGGCTGAATGTGATTAAAGGCAACCACCACCCCTCTCTCACAGGAGTGAGGAGTCAGAGGCAAAAATGAATTCTTGGTATGACAGTGGGTTTTCCCAGTTCCTAGGATGATTGTAGATGCTTCTTTCTTTAACATAGCAGCATATGACATAGGCTATGTAGCTATTGTAGATGCTTCTAATCCTTATGCTTCAGTTGGAAATAACAGTGTTGTTTGTAGTGTGCATCAGTTGGAAAGGAACACGATTCAGGATAAAATTTTAATTTTTAAAAATTGCCTAAATGCATCAAGATTTAAAATACTTGTCAGTTAGAGCAAATGTTAGGTGCCTCAGAGAAATAAGTTATGTAAGAAGGGTCATTAGTGCCTTATTAGAAACATAGGCTAGAGAGAGGTTTTCTTTTTTTTTTTTTAAAGATTTATTTATTTATTTATACAAGCACTGGGTACAGTCAGAAGCACGGGAGGGTGAGAGAATTCACCAGAGCCAGAGGGGAGAGCAGAGCAGGCAGAAGGAGCGAAGTACACTGCTGAGGGGAGCAGCGGGCAGCAGGAGAGGTCTGCGCCCATGTGGGACACTCGCCCGGCGACTGGGGATTGAACCGGCGCTGCAGAGGCTGCGGGCAGCTTCGTAACCCAGCGCTCAAGGTTTTCTAATAGCTGCACTTAAATTGGAGGGAAAATAGTTTTATCGTGGGTAAAATTCACTTGCCCTGAATGAGAAGGGTTTTCCTGTGTTTCCTCATCTAAATCTCTATGGCAGGGCCTCCCCGGTGGCGCAGAGGTTGAGCGCTGGGTTGCCAAGCTGCCCGCAGCCTCTGCAGCGCTTGATACCCGCAGCCTCGATCCCGGCTGCAGGGCGAGGGTCCCACATGGCGCGCAGATCTCTCCTGCCGCCCACTGCTCCCCTCAGCAGTGTACTTTGTCTGTCTGCCTGTTCTGCTCTCCACTCTGGCTCTGGTGAATTATCTCAACCTCCCGCGCTTCTGACTGTACCCAGTGCTTGTATAAATAAATAAATCTTAAATAAATAAATAAATAAATAAATAAATAAATAAATAAATAATCTCTATGGCAGTTACAACTTGCGACGAGTTGTTTTTTTAACTCATGAGTGAAAAGAGTCCTTATCATTAAAGGGATTTCTCAAAGAATAACATATTTGCATGATCATATGTGGTAGGAACTGAGAGAGGGTAAGGAGTGGTGTGAGTAAATATTTCATTGAAATAGTGACTAGGCCAAATACATTTTCCTGTGTATTGAACACAATCTGCTGGCCAAATTCTCCCCTGGGTACTGCTGTTTTGTCAAATTCAAAATTACTAGTAGGATTTACCAGAACAATGTGTTTGTCTATAAATCCACATAAATGTATCAATAGTTTCTAGAATGAGAACCTATTGTCCTTCTGCTTATTTGGTACAAAATAAATCTGTTACTCAATTACAAAAGGGAGAAGGGATGTGCTAGTCTAATAATTTCACTACCTGCAATGTATAAACTGTGTGATTTAGATTGCTATAAGCAGTATAATTTCCAATGGTACTAGCCTTCAAAAGTCAACCAATACCTTTATTATTTCACAACCATCATTCTTCACGTGCAGATGTGAGACGCACTTTTTCTGATAATTCTTCAAGACAGGAAGATCTTTAATGATCAAAACAGGTCATGATTTACCCAGATACTTTTGTTTCTCTTGTGTCCCTAGAACAAGTAAAATATCCAAATATCCAGAGGTTAGGAGTGGTTTGGATAACAGAATTGGCTGTGAATTTAGGATTAAAAAGATATGCTCCACAATACCAAAATGATGTCCTCTAATGACTCTGAAAGCAGCGGCTCCAGGCAGAATGCTATCTTTGGCCAATGCTCTGATCACTAAAGACTTTTTTGATTAGTAAAGAAAAACTCCTGCATAGAAACTATAAAGTTATATCTACTTCAGTTTTATCCCTGAGGTAAGAGGGCAACCCCCAAACTCAACTACCTCAATCCTCTTTGGAGGTAGGATTATAAAAAATCAAAACAAAGCCATGATCAAAAGCGATACCCCAAATGTCTTCCAAGTTGCAGTGGTGCAGTGTTAACTCTTACTGTATCACTAAGGGCAGAATCCAGTATAAAATGAATGTATCTAAAGAAGGCTTCTTCTGATACTTTCGATACAATTCCCTAGAAAGGGAGTATCTACTTATGTTTGCTACAATCAGAAATGACACATGAAATATGAGCAGCTTGAATACATGCATATATTTAATAATGAAACAGTTCATCAACAACAACAACAACAAAAAATTAGAAAAAGTCATGAGACCTCAGTGCAGTAAAGAGAATGGATGTCAAGGCAAAAAAGATATAACAAATGAACCAAAAGATGGCATGATAAATAAAGCAAAAGCAGATTTGGCTAAGATAGTATTATATGCTGTTGAAAAGGAGAATGGCTGGAGAAGTACCATGTATTTGATAGCTTGGAAACAGACAGACTTACTGTATGTTACATGGAATGGAGGCAAAGAGTCAGGGAAGGGAAAGAGGAGAGAGATGAGAGGAAAGCAGCAATAGAGAATCCAGGGTAAGCAGATGGGAAGAGTGAGATAGAGTTACAAAGAGATGACACTAAGGCCTTTTGTTTCCTCTGAAGTCTCGGATAAACCTGTTCCAAATCTTTACGTGTGTCAGTCAAAGTCAATGATCACATAATGAATTGCACTAGGCACTGGAAGGAATGGTGGAGGGTGTGGTTTACAAAAAGTAAAGGGAAAATATGGTTCCTGCTCTCAAGGAGCTTACAACCTATATGAGACAGATACCACACATAAAACAACTATAAAATATATTTACAAAATAACATAATACAAATAAACAATACCTCTGAATAAACATTTGAAAGCTAAGGTTTACTAAAGTTTACTGTGTTAGTAATTGTCTAGAAGTTCTGAGTTCAAAGAAACCTCTCTGAAACACAAATTTTTAGATTTTGAGTATAATAGTAGCAGGGAGGTGGCAAGTGCAAAGGTATTAAGGTGGAAGTAAATATGACATGTCCAGAAAGCATAATAGTTTGATAGACAGTCCAAATAGGTCTAGTTAAGAAATGAGTGTAATGGGTGTTTTTCAGGAAAGACACTCAATTTTAGGCCTGGTCCCTAAAACAAAACAAGCGAGGAAAGACTTTTCTTTAAGTAATGGTAGTAAGTAGCCATTGTCCAGGAGCAACTCTGTGGCTCTCACAGTTTTGTAGTTACTCCAGGAAAGAGAGAAGCTAGTTAAAGGATGGTAAAGAAGTATTCAGCCTCTTTGAGAAGTTCAAGTAGAAGGAACAATCTTTTTCAAGATCTCTTATGAAGTGGTGAGTGGGTTCCAAAGACAAGGAAGTAAAATAACTCAATGAAATTGCTAGGCAGAGGATCTCTGGTCCATGGCTATCTAGATCCCAGTAACTTTAAGTGCTCAAGCACACTGTCCTAGACCCTATTACTAATTTTACTTGGTGGGGTGTACACTGTGTAGGCTCATAAAACAATATATTTACTTTTGAACTACTATGACAATCAGTTTTGATGCTAACATTGTAGAAATTAAAACAGAAGAAGGATAAGAAAAGTCCTAACTATAGGGAATGCTCACATCCCTGAAGAAGGACAGGTCAGCAAGGGACCAAATTCTCCCCTGGTCTTTTTATGTAGAAAGGCAAAACATCATATTTTGAAAAGAGGCTTTTCTCAGCCAAAGCAAATTAGACTTCTTTCTTTAAGCCTATTGATCTGAAGCTGTTCCAGAAAGAAAAAAAGAGATCAGGCCAGATGTTCAGCAGCAGCCAGAGTTGGACCCTACGTCACCAGAGTTCCGCGGGGAGGAGCTGGATCCCACCGATGTTGAAATACACTGTTGGGGACCAATCTTGATTCCATTTGCCTGCAAAAGAAGAGGTAAGAGTTCCCTCTCAGTTCTCAATGCTGAAGTGGAAGAACAAGGGAGGATAAAAGGAGAATCATGATTTACATTTTCAGATACCACCTTGGCAGGTAATCGTGAGCCCTAGTTAGACTGTTGTGAAACAATAATCCATGGCTATAAGGATGTGATGACCAGTTGTGATATAAGGATTACTGATGATTAGTAGTGGCTTCTGTGCCCACTTTAAGGTGACTGTTTTAAGTTTCATAGTTACATGCAGAGTCAGGATGTGATTAAGAGTAGGAGAAGGCAAAAAGTAGATTTAACACAAAATTCTTTTTTTGCCCTGGAATTTGCTTTATAGAAATAACCCTGCTGAACAATTAAGAATCACACCTCCCCAATGCGCTGGAATAGTAAAAAAAAAAAAAAAAACAGGTTGAGAAGAAAACCTCCCATATTATATAAGCCTTTTAGATCCCTAATTAATAATCTCTAAGAGGGCCTCCCCGGTGGCACAGTGGTTGAGCGCTGGGTTGTGAAGCTGCCCGCAGCCTCTGCAGTGCCAGTTCGATTCCCAGCCGCTGGCGAGGGTCCCACATGGCACGCAGAGATCTCCTGCTGTGCCTGCTGCTCCCCTCAGCAGTGTATTTCGTCAGTCTGCCTGTTCTGTTCCCCGCTCTGGCTCTGGTGAATCCTCTCACCCTCCCACACTTCTGACTGTACCCAGTGCTTGAATAAATAAATAAATAAATCTTTAAAAAAAAAAAAAAATCTCTAAGAATTATGGGTCTCAGACTTAAGAAAAAAAAAAAAAACAGAATGTGATGATAATTTTCTATGTAGCTACATAAAAAAAACAAGTTAAACTGGCATAGCTTCAAATAGTGTGATGTTAGATAGCAATGCTCACATTCTAGGCAGCTCTCTGTTTAAGACAAAGCAAAGGTAACTGACAGGCCCTCCCCACAACCTTCCTAGCCCCCCCCACACACACACTTTCTCACCTCATTGTGGATATCAAATAAACCCTGCTGGATCTTTCTATATATTTCTTTGGCTGTGTTAATGAAGGCCTAAAGGAAACACAAATCATATTATTAGGCTCAGGTTTAGGTAGAAAAATGAGGATAGCCAAATATAAATACTCCTATTTGGTTATCTAAGATGTATTAGGAACCATTAAAGAAGACAGTGAAAATACAGACGGCTCACCAAAGTTCCTAAAAAAAAAAAAAAAACCATTGAGAGTAGTTTCAAAAGGAGAAAAGAGATTATATGGCATCTAGTACTGACCCAAAATGTTCCTAGCATTCTCTACAAATAAAACAAACATGCTCTCTTTGCCATTAGTCACTGAAGACACAGTCAACACCAGTATTGTGAATGACTACAGTAGAGGCCATTAGATCCTCCAATAAAGTGATTTACAAGTAACAGAGTCCTCTAATCCACACTTACCAATTAATGTTACCCAGAGCAAAAGGAAAACCTTAGAAATAAATGTGAAAGAAAATAGGAGAATTCCCTTGAAGGGAGGACTTATGGTTACCATGACTACAGGATTTTTTTCCTTATCCATGGAGAATGCTGAATAAAAGGACATAGCTAAGGTGTAGTCTATGAAGAGTTTTCCCTATTTTTTCCAAATAGTACCTCTTCAACATTGCAGGCTGTTTTGGCTGAAGTTTCCATGAATATAAGTCCATGTTCCCGAGCAAAGGCCTCTCCTTCTTCTCTCTTCACATCCCTGCGGGACTCTAAGTCACTGCAAGAGATTAATTGAGGGGCAGGGAGGAAACTAAAAAAAGATGGAAGTAAAAGAAGCAAGTCTCATTCTAAAAGAATCCCATAGCTGTTTCAAATGCCAGTTAATCCATAAGGTATGTAGCCTCTACACGATACTCTCCAGCACAGGGTTACTGATTTCTGTAGCCTCTTGGAAAATATTCTTCAGATTCATGACAGCTGCTGCATGGTTGAGGATTAAGCCTTACTCTACTACAGAGAAGAAGGTTTATAAAGGGGTAGGCAAGCTCAGTTACTCAAAGCTTATGTTCTAGACTGCTTGTGTGAATGCAATCCAATGAGAATTCAAGAAAGATGAAAAGAAATTTCCAGTGGCTAGAAGGTAGCAAAATCATAGATGTCCTATCCCATAGGGATGAGCACCCCTTCCTCTTTTACTGAAATCAACCCACAAGAAGGGAGTTAAGTGGAAATAAGGACACTGTTGCCTCGGGCCTCCCTGGTGGTACAGGGGTTAAGTCTCAGCACTATAAAGCTCTCAGCAGCCACTGCAGCACCAGTTCTATCCCCAGCCAGGAAGTGAACCTGCATGGTGCACCAGACCTTTCCTGGTTCACCAGACCTTTCCTGGTTCACCTGCTGCTCCCCTCAGCAGTATATCTCAGTAGATCTCCCTGTTCCGCTCCCCACTCTGTCTCTGGTGAATCCTCTCACCCCCATGCCTCTGGCCTCTACCCCAGTTCTTGTATGAACTTTTTTTAAAAGATACATTTTATAAATGTATAAAATGTATAAAATGACAAAAGATAAAATGTATAAAATATATAAATCTTTTTTAAAAAGATTTATGTTATTTATTTATGCAGTTCTTGTATGAATAAATAAAATAAATCTTTAAAAAAAAGATTTATTTTATTTATGCATACAAGAGCTGGGGTGTAGGCCAGAGGTACAGCGGGGTGAGAGGATTCACCAGAGATAGAGTGGGGAGCGGAACAGGCAGATTGAAATACACTGCTGAGGGGCGCAGCGGGCGAGTCAGGAGAGGTCTGCTGCGCCAGGTGGGTTGCTCCCTGGCCGGGGAGAGAACTTGTGCTGCAGTGGCTGTGGACAGCTTCATAGGTTGTGTCTTAACCCCTTGTGCCACCAGGGAGGCCCCCAAATAAAATAAATCTTTAAAAAAAAAGAACACAGTTGCCTTAATTCTCATGTTTCTTTATTAACCTGTACAGTAGCAGCTTACTACCAAGGAAATGAAAGATTCAGAGAAAATCATATGGAGGAAAAAAGAGCCAAAGTCTAAGAAAGGGAATAAAGTGGCACAAAAAGACATTACAAAAGATGGACAAAAGGCTGCAGAATAAGGTAAGGGTGATCTCTTTGAGTTTCACTTCTCAAATTCGAAGTTTTTGTTTGGGAGGTTTCAAGTTTTTCAACCATAGGAAAAAAATCAAGAGTAAGTCCATTAAAAGAACAACAAATCCACAATATGTCTAGTTTTTATTCTTCAGCTGTGTGAAGACCAGGGAAAAACTATCCATTTAAATGTCAACACTCCTAAATTTGTACCTCTAGCCCAGATGCTCCTCTAAGCTCCAGATCTCTTAGTCCATTTGTCTGTTCTTCATTTCCATTCCGATATATAAAAAGCAACTCAAACTTAGATCAAAATGGAACTTGATTATTTTCCCACTAACCTACTTCTGCCCCAGGCTTCTACGTCTCAGTAAATGGCACAAAGCAAAAATCAAGACACTATTATTAACATCATTTCCACTTTCATTTCAAATACTCAATCCACCCCAAAGTGAGGCACTTCCAAAACGTACCCTAAAAGCACCCTTTCCTCACTCTCTCCAGCATCATCACCCTAGTCCAACCCACTATTAGTTAGATTACTGCAAATGAACTTCCATTTCAACTCTTGCTTCCCTCCAGAATAACCTTCTAAAATTTGATCAAGCCACTTTTTTGATCAAGCCACTTTTCTACTTAAAACTCTCAGAATGGGGCCTCTCTGATGTTGCAAGGGATTAAGTCTCAGCATTATAAAGCTATCAGCAGCCACTATAGCTCGAGTTTGATTCCTGGCCAGGGAGCTAACCCACATGACACAGCAGACCTCTCCTATCTCACCTGCTGCTCCCCTCAGCAGTGTATTTCAATAGATGGGCCTGTTCTGCTCCCACTCTGTGTCTGGTGAATCCTTTCACCCCCTGAACTTCTGGCCTACACCCCAGTTCTTGTATGCATAAATAAATAAAATAAACCTTTAAAAAAAAAAAAGATGATTTACTGAGACTGTAAGTGTGGTGAGGAGATGGAGAAATTGGAACCCCTGTGCACTGCTGGCAGGAATGTAAAATGGTGCAGCCTATGGAAAGCAGTATGACAGTACCTCAAAAAATCAAACATAATTATAAGATGCAGGAACTCCACTTTTGGGTATGTAACCAAACTGAACAGACATTTGTATACCCATGTTAATAGCAGCATTATATGCAATAGCAAAAGGTCTAAGCAAGCCAAGTGTCCATCAGTGGATGAATAGGTAAAAAAAAATGTGGTCACCACTTATGGTGAAACACTATTCATCCTTAAAAAAGAAGGAAATCCTGACACATGCTACAATAGGAATGAACTTTGAGGATATTATGCTAAATGAAATAAGTCCATCATGAAAGGACAAATATTACATGATTCTACTAATACGAGGTGCCTAGAGTAGTCAAATTCATAGAGACAGAAAACAGATGGTTGCTAGGGACTGGTGGGCTGGGAAACTGGGGTTAGTATTCAATTGAAACAGAGTTTCAGTATGAGTAGATGAAAAAGTTTTGGGGATAGAGGGTAGAGATAGATGCAGAACAGTGTGAATGTACTTAATGCCTCAGAACTGTACACTTGAAAATGGTTAAAATGATAAATTTTATCATTTATATTTTATCACAAGAAAAAAATTCTTGTACTGAGACACCAAGAACACCATAAACTAAAAAAGTTTGGGAACCAAATGCGTCAGTGTTGACATAGGACTCCCATGATTCCTGGTTCTTATTATTTACACAAATAAAAATTTACCTCTTATTCCCAATTAGCATGATAACCATGTTGGAGCTAGAGTGTTGCCGGGCATCCTCTAACCAGGAGGTCAGGTGGTTGAAGGTTTCACGTCTAAGCAGAAAAGTTTAGAAAGGTGGTCAGGGGCCCATTTCAAAATGCTAAAGTAATTCCAAATGCATGATAAAGGAGTAAACTACATGTATAAAGAAAAATACTGAAGAGATCACTCTTATTTAGCATTCTTGCCAGAATCAGTAAGTAGAAAAGAAAAATATTTCAAGAACATAGGAAAAGTCTCCCACCCACACACCAGATCTGACTCACCTTGTGATGTCGTACACCAGCAGGGCTCCCGCAGCTCCCCTGTAGTAGGAACGGGTGATAGAACGGAAGGATTCTTGCCCAGCCTTTCCCACCAACATAGCAACAAAAAATCCCAACAAAACCAGGTTATTTCCAGAGAACTGACTTGATCATATGCCACTCTAACACAAAGGCCTTAACTTCAGACAAGAATTATATTAAAATAAGAGAACTAGGGAAGGAAACATGACTGTCTCGGGAGAAACCCAAGTGAAAAACCATTATTTTTCGGTGGGAGTGCAATGGATAACTGGGGTGGACTGTCCATCAAACTGCTAAGTGTTTAGCATCACTGGCTCCAGTGACTACAGGCCAGTAGCACCCCACCATGCCAGTGAGAATCAGACATATTTTAAGATGGGAAAATGAAGATGTAGACATGGGGAAAAAAATGGCTTTCTCAGAGCATAATAATAATAACCCAAATGGGAAAAGTGAGACTCAAATGAGTAAGTTCAATAATTGGTCAAAAGTGATAAAGCCAGGCCTCCCTGGTGACGCAAGGAATTAAGTTCTGCACTATGAAGCAATCTGCAGCTTCTGCAGCACGAATTCGAATTTGATCCCCAGCCAACCAGGGAGCAACTCACATGGTGCAGCAGACCTCTCCTGTCTCGCCCACTGCTCCCCTCAGTAGTATATTTCAGTCAGTCTGCCTTTTCTGTTCCCTACTCTGTCTCTGGTGGATCCTCTCACCCTCTGCATCTCTGGCCTGTACCCCAGCTCTTGTATGCATAAATAAATAAATCTTTAAAAAAATTTTTTTAAAAAGTGATAAAGCCTAGGGCCTTCCTGGTGCACACAGGTTGAAGTCTCAGTTCTATCAAGCTATTGCCAGCCACCGTGGCATGAGTTCCATCCTCTGTCAGGGAGCTTCCTACATGGCACAGCAGACCTCACCTGTCTTGCCTGCTGCTTCCCTCAGTAGTGTATTTCAGTAGATCAGCCTGTTCTGCTCCCCAATCTGTCTCTGGTGAATCGTCTCGCCCCCTGCACCTCTGGCCTATACCCCAGTTCTTGTATGCATAAATAAATAAAAAATAAATCTTGGGGGGGAAAAAGTGATAAAGCCTATAAATGTTGAATCTACAAATTAAACTCAGTACTTTCTAGTACAAAAATTTGTTCTCTTAGTCATTATGTCATATAACATAAACCTGGGTTTGAAGGTGAGAAGAGAATTATGGTACACTAAGGTTACTTTTCTAACACAAGAATTCCTTTCTACAGGAAGCATACAGTGTTTTAATGAGTTGCATGCCTGTTAGTATGTAAAAATCCAAAAATAATTTTAAAGAACTTTGTTGATAATTTTAATATTTTAAGATTTAAAATATACCTTTTTCTAAGAGCTCACTTAAAGTTTTATTTATTCTCTGACAATCTCATATTTTAAATTATTTGATTCCTGTTTTGCTTTTATCTCTTACTGACTTTTCTCCTTTTCTGTTATTGGTGAAAACTCCTTCCTTCCCCTGGATTACTAGGAACTAAAAGGGAAAGTTTGAGAGGGGCCCACAAAATGGTTGAATTATATGACAGCGTTTCACTTAAGCAGTTGAAAACACTTCCTGTGAATCATCAGAAATTGCCAAAATAAAATCACTCTACTTCTTCATCTCAGTCCATTTCATGAACTAAAGTTTGTGAGCCAGGAAGTTAGAAAGAGCCATTCTACTTGGGCTGGTCTAATCAGTCCGAGGCATCCTTGTCCAGCCACAGGAAAAAAATCTGAAGCAGATATTTAGTAAGATGATGGTTTGATAAAGAGAATTTCAACAGCTTTCTAATTTCTCTCAAGTGGAACTGTATGTTATTGTTTCAAGATAAATTATTTGAAATATCAATTCCTACAAAATCAGATACACTCATTTCCTAAGAATCAAAATATACTCCCAAATAAAATACAATGAATTTGGGATTATTTAATCAACATTTTATATTAGCTACAATACAGAGACTTTTCATTTAGCATGGTTATTTGGGCAACAATGTATAGAGAATGAACAAAGGTAAAAACTAATATGGTTCTCTAAATACTCGTCAATAACCAAAATGGTGACAACAAAATCTCTGAAAAACTTTGAATAACTTAAAGTCTCTTTAAAAATACTCTTGGGCCTCCCTGGTGACGCAGCAGGTTGAGTGCAGCGTTGTGGGGCTGACCGCAGCCTCTGCAGTGCGGGTTCGATCCCAGCCGGCCAGGGAGATGCCCACATGACGTGGCAGACATCTCCTGTCTCGCCCACTGCTCCCCTCAGCAGTGCTTTCTGTCCGTTTGCCTGTTCTGCTCCCCACTGTCTCTGGTGAATCCTCTCACCCTCCTGCACCTCCGGCCTGTAAGCCAGCTCTTGTATAAATAAAATAAATCTTTTAAAAAAAAGAGAGAGAGAGAATCCTTATAAACAAATAAATAAATAAATAAATAATACTCTTCATGGGGCCTTCCTATTGGCCTAGGAGTTAAGTCTCAGCGCTCTCACCACTATGGCCTGAGTTCAATCCTAGGCCAGGGAGCTAACCCACATATGGCACAGCAGACCTCTCCTGACTCGCCCGCTGCTCCCCTCAGCAGTGTAGTTCAGTAAAGTTGCCTGTTCTGCTCACAACTCTGCCTTTGATGAATCCTCTCACCACCACCTTAACACATACCTTTGGTCTATACCCCATTTCTTCTACACAAAAATAAAAAAAAATAAATAAGAAAAAAAATACCCTTCATGGAAATCCCTAAACATTTTCATGTACAATGGCTCTGGGAATGGGTGAGGGTCAACAAAGTGGAATGCTGAGGTGGGTAAGCAATGAGCAGCAGATCAGGGCTCATGAGAGAGATGATCAGGTTTATCCAGAGAGTGGTAGACAAAACAGATACTACATTATAGGTAGGAATCTTAAAATAAATAGAAAATCCCAGTATTCTGAGACCTATATGATTCAACAAAGATTAGTCTGAATTCAAAATAATTATTAAGAGAGAGCAGAAAGGAACTAAGCTAGTTTCTGTCAACAGAGCAGTGGCTCTTGACTTTCTTAGTTACAATCCATCCAGGACTCATTACCACCTAAGCTAAAAAAGAAGGAAAAAATCCCAGCAGGCCAACACTTAGACATTCTCATGACCATGACCATACCACTGACTGACAGCTATGAGGTCTCCTGGCATCAAAACATCAATTTTTGGAAATGGTAGAGGTTTAAGTAAAAGGCAGAATCTAGCTAATAATATTAAACTTGATACTTACATGTGCTTCACTCTGTGTCCCCTCCTCAAAATGTGTCCTGTGGCTTTGAGGGGGTCAAATCTCCCTCGTGAGAAATACAAACCCAGGGAGTAATAAAAGGAGACATGGTCTCACTCCATGTCTCACTCCACGTGGAATATAGAGAAACCAAGCAAAAGGTCAGGAAAAAGTCAAAACTAGCAGGCTGACCACAGAGCTGAGGCCTACAGCAAAGGAGAGGGTAGAAGAGGGAGCAAAACAGGGGAGGGCAGAATACAAGGGAATGTGGTGGTAGTTCATGGGTGATAAGGTGGCAGGAGAACTATGGGGACTACAATGAGAAGAAAAAATTCAATAAAAACTAACTAACTAAATAAATAAATAAATAAATGGAGAGTTGTAATACCTACTTGGGTTAATAGTGACAAAGAACTGTAGGCCCCAAGAATAAAAGAAGGGATTAGTGATAGTTGTTTAAGAAATATATTCTCGGGCCTCCCCGGTGGCGCAGCGGTTGAGTGCTGGGTTGCGAAGCCGCCCGCAGCCTCTGCAGCAACAGTTCAATCCCCAGATGCTCCCAGGCCACCGGACGGGGGTCCCACATGGTGCGCAGACCTCTCCTGCCGCCCGCTGCTCCCCTCAGCAGTGTATTTCGTCACTCTGCCTGTTCTGCTCTCTGCTCTGGTGAATTCTCTCACCCTCCTGCGCCTCTGACTGTACCCAATGCTTGTATAAATAAATAAATAAATCTTAAAAAAAAAAAAAGAAATATATTCTCTTAATTTTGGCAACAGGCATAGAATAATACCTCTTAGGCTTTATTGGAAGGAAAAGGCTAGAGAAAAGCTGATCAAATGAAGCAAGTTTGAAGTTTTAGAGGCATCTAGCTGGTCCTACCACTATTAGAGATGTGAAATGATTTACATTCACGTTATAAGATGGTGAAGTGCAAAATCTGACCAGAAGGACAAGTGGGGGGCCTCCCTGGTAGCACAAGGGGTTAAGCACAGCACTGTGAAGCTGTCTGCAGTCTCTGCAGCACAAGTTCAATCCTTGGCCAGCCAGGGAGCAACCCACATGGCACAGCAGACATCCCCTGACTCGCCTGCTGCTTTCCTCAGCAGTGTACTTCAGTCTGCCTGTTCTGTTCCCCACTCTGTCTCTGGTGAATCCTCTCACTTCCTGCACCTCTGGCCTGTACCCCAGGTCTTGTATGCATAAATAAATAAATCTTAAAAAAAAAAAAAAAAGAAGGCAAATGCTTATTCAAATGCTTGGAAATACAACCAACAAATGCACAGAAGAATATCGTGCTTGTAAACAGCATCTGATCAATTCGTTCATCCAAAAATGGCAACCATGTTGGGGACCACCAGAAAAGGACCCGGTGCAAAAAGGCCCTACAGCAGTAAGTAACTGCTTTTAAGATAGACATCTATATGTGTTGGGGGAGGGAAGGAGAAGGAGAAAAAAGAAAAATCATGTATAAATCACTTGTAGATATACGAGTTTCACTTCTCCATTCTGAGAATAAACAGAATCAAATAAGAAGCAAAAACAGGAAGAGATTTTAGGTGAATATTAGCAATATTGCTAGCTCCCTTTAACTCAGAAAACTAGGATAATGTTTTTTTTAGAGGAAAGAAAAGAAAAACCAAGTGGGATACTGCCTATAAGGACAATTTACCTGGATGAAACAAAATTACACTGTCAGGCTAAATTTTGGCATTTATCAAAGTTTAAAATATGCATAAACTTTAACTCAGAATTTCCATTTCTGGGCAGCTATTCCACAGAAATTCACAAACATTTACATAAACATATAGTAAAAAAGAATGTTCAATGAAATTTTGCCATGGTGAAAAACTGGAAACTACCTTTCCCCAAGGGAGAAGAAGTAAATAAATTATGGTATAGACAGTCTACAATCCTGTGCAGTGATTAAAGGGATGACGTAGATTTACCTATATCTACATTTAAGTCTCCAAAACAAATCCTTAAATAAAAACCCAAGTCACACAGCTAGGTCTACTATGACATAATTCTATAATGCAAAAACTAATAAAAACAAAACCATTATCATATGTTTGTACATTTTTACATTTATGTATCTACATGCAGAGAAAAAGTCTGAAAGTATTAATAGTGGTTTATTCTGGTAAAGCAGAAACTAAGATTGGAAAAAAGAGATATTTAGATGTGTAAAGGGGACATTCACTTTTTATTCTATTCATTTTGATTTTTTGTTTTTATTTTCACTAGAACAAACTCATATATTACCCGGGGAATTTAAAAGAAAAAAAGAATTTGTAACTAAAACAGATGGAAGTGAAAACTTCCCTATATCTTTAATTTTATTCCTCCCCTATTCTCGTTACCATTAGTCCCATCCTCAGTACTGTTCCCCTGAATTAGCCTTTACTATTATATTTGCATAATGACCAGGGACTAATTATTTTGTCCTCTCTCACCGTATCCCAGATTTGCAGTTTGATTTGTTTTCCATCAATGTTGACCATGCGGGCCCCAAACTCCACACCTGTCAGTGAAGACCGAGAGAAAAAACATGATACTCATGAACAAGAGCTATGCTGAATGAGAAGTTCTTGCTTTCCCTCAGTGTACTAATATGACTCATCCTCACTCAGTGCCACTAAGTCCATTACTGCTGCCTATTAGCTCCATTTAACTGTGTATTCTTACGGTTTCATTTGCCTTCTAGAATTAAGAACTGTGTCCTAGGTGATAATGACTTCAGGAATGTAACCAAAAGGCAGATATGGGGATGAAACTAATTAAGAGTCAAGTAGAAAAGGTGAATACATTTTTAGCAATGTTAGTTAATGCACAAATTTGATTAGGTAACATTCAATTTTGTAACTTTTTTAAAACAGCTAAAGATTTTGAAACTATTTCTTAACATTTTTCTCAGTTCCTGACCCTCTATATGCAACAATAGTCCTTTCTTTTACAAAGTAGAACTTTTTGTTTGAGGAAAGAACCCACCTAAGAAATGGGTTCGCAAGAATGATACACTTCAGATAATAGATACACTTCCAATAATTCCCAGAGCTCACTGGGAAATAGCCTCTCATAGGAGTATGGAATCTGATAGTCTTAACAAAGGTTTTAGTTTAATGGCATTCATCTTCTTTCAAGGTAATGTCAGGCCAAAACTTAAAAATTGAAGGTCACTTACATTACAAATACTTTATTGTAAATCAGACAATTTGTCCTATTTCCTATTTTTATACAGTACTTTACGCATAGTATAGGGAATTCTGATTTCCAAATAAGAAAGCACACTAACCTAGCTTCCACTAAAGAGGTGATCTGCACCCATAAAGTGCCCCAAGCACAATATATCTGGAATATCCCTCTCAACACTAAGGTACTGCAGTGAATAAGAAAGATATAAAAATTATTTCATACAACTCTAGATTGCCTCATCAAAAATAGCGAAAGCTACTGAAAAAAGCCACTATTTTTTCTTTCTGGTCAGCAGGAATTGAATTCCACTGGGAAAAATTTAAAAAACTTTATCTTCTTTATGCAACTTCATCTAGTTATCATTCAAAACTCCTATATTTTGCACATATTTTCTACCTAACTGCCTTATTTATCTTGGTACAGAAAATTGAAGTCAGAAAAAATGCAGCCCATTTTAGACTCTAGTTGAAAACACAATTGTTTCATTCTTCACTTTAAAACTTGTCATTTGCTCCCTTCACCTTCAGGTATTTCAAAACTTGGTACCTAATTTATTCTCTTGCTACTTCAAACTCAAACTTCACTTCAAACTCCTTGCTCCAGTCACATTAAGTTGCTATCAGTTTTCCAAAAGTGGCCTGACCCCTGACATTGCTGAGCCTCTGCACATTTATTCTCTCTCGCACTTTTTCCACATCTCTAAAACTTTTGCCTAACTCCTACTCATTCTTCAATTTTCAGCGTCTCCTGATAAAGATGGCAGCCTCAGCTTTCCTTCTGCAATAGGAATTTACTTTCTGCACGCAGTCTCAGATTCTGTCTGTATATTGGAAGACAGTAAGCTACTTAGGGCAAGCACAATATTTACTCTGTTAAGCATTGTATTATTAGCATCTATCACAGTATGGTATTCACTTAATACTCATTTACCAAAAATATTTCCTGTTAATGCTGTCCTTTTACTCATGTCTAAACCCACTAGAAAGCTGACTCTGAAAAAGTACTTCAACTTTCATAAAGACAGGACTAGAAAGTGGCACTATGTTAAGAGTGGGAGCCAAGTATTTTATTCAGAAACTGTATTTTCATGGAAAGGTTTTTTATGTATTTATTATCTGGGCTGGGGTTATGCATTTATAGGGAAGAGGCAGCATGTTTATACTTTGCAGGATCACCAGTGTGTTTTCGGAGCGTTCTAATACTGTTCTTTAAAAGGAAAGTTAGTATTTTCATCTATCTTTTCATTCTAAATCTGGGATCACCCTTCAATTTGCATCCTCCTCTCACACACAAAAATTCATTCGTGTGTGATGATGGTTTTGAAAAACATATATTTAGCATTGTTACCGCGATGTTTAGAGAGTTTTTGAAAAATTATTTATGCTGTCATGAGATTTTCCATAAACATATAAATGGCATTTGGTGACCCCCCCCCAAAAAAAAAAAAATCCACGGCGACTAATACATACTACACGCTCATCTCTTAAATTACCTCTTAATTATTTACTCCCCATTGCAGTTCTTTCCAAGTATAGCATTTTCTAGTCACACCTCATTTAATATACTTTCGGATTAGTTTAAAAGTAGCGAGAAGAAACTTTCCTTCGCACACTGAAGGCTGCTAACTTTCCATGTAAACTAGTCAGTTTTTTTTTATAACTAGTCAGATGCACTTACCTATGGTGAGGTCGTGGACAGGCTGGAACCGCTTGTCTGTGAACTGCAGAAGGAGACATGACTTCCCCACACCTGAAAGAGGAGGACGAGATTCTAGGAATCACACCCTCCAGGAACAGCCTTCAGTCCCGGCGTCCGGATTAGGGAAAGGGAACCCGGAGCCCCGCCCCCGGCCGCCCCGCCCCGATCGTTCTTCACGAAATCGCCCAGCCCACTAACAGAGCCCCGCCCCCACGACCCGATTTGGGGACTTCGGATCTCCGCTCCAGCGATGAGGACAGTCGCGGCGGGTTACCTGTGTCCCCGATGATGATGTACTTGAAGAGATAAGCATAAGTCATGGTCCCGTTTCCTCTAGATTCCGGGTCCGCCCGACTTCACGTACCACCTGCCCCTCTAGCCACTCAGTCGACCGATGTCCGTCCCCTCTAGCCCAGATCAAGTCTCTATTGCTCTCCCAAGAAATCCTCTCTTGATCTGAGCCACGGTAGTATCCTGACACTGCTTCCCGGCACGCCTACAACAAATCTCCATGCCATTACACCACCAAGCTACAGGGGGCGATAGCTAGCTTTTCCGTCCGGTCGCCCTTCCGGGTCTGACTCGCAACAGCCCAAACAACTCCTTCCAATCAGCGGAAAGCGACGCGGTCCTTGCGGAAGTGACGTCAGTTCCGAGTCCTCTGGGGGCGGTGGGAGAGATGAGAAGGCTGAGATTGGGGTAGCCGTTGTGTGAAGATGGAGGTACGAGCCTGAGAGCTTAGAAGGCTGGCGAGAGAGCGCGGCCGACGATGTTGAAGCAGAGACGGGAACCCGGGAGGAGAGGCGGCTGGCCGGGAGGGTTGGCGGCGAGAGGGGTTTTGGGTTCTGGCAACATTTTGGCAGAATGTTGGGGTCAGAAGCTGTCGCTCCAACTCCCTGCTCCCCCCCAAACTTACTCCACGGTTTTCTTTTGATTTCCAGTTTCCCGGAGGAAATGACAATTACCTGACGATCACGGGGCCTTCGCACCCCTTCCTTTCAGGCGCCGAGGTGAGCTTGAGCTGCCCACGCAGTGGGGGGAGGGCGTGGAGCTGCAGTGGATCGGGTGGGGGGGTGTGGGCTCGGACGCCAAGGACTGGGGGCCGGGAGCTAGGGTCGCTATGGTGTTTACAGAAAAGTGACTGCCACTTCTAGAGCACGTGAGGATTATAGGGAAGGCCCAAGAAGCCACTGTCATCAGATAAGCAGGATGTTGGAAAGAGCTAACTTATTCAAGGGTGATTCTGGATCAGAGGAGTGAAGTGGCCTCCTTTTCTTGGGGAGAAATAAAACAACAATCTTGAAATATCACAGCGGAAAGGAAATGTTATAGCTAAAAAGTTGGGGTAAGAAGAGGGCTTTACCTACGAGGGTTTAACTGGGCTATTGAAGGGGTCGTTTCACTTAAATTTCCTACATTGATTTTAAAAAGTTTGTACTTAGTTTACATACCTGGTATTAATTTGTTTTGCTATTAAAAGGCAATAAATGCCAGAGAACTTGAAGGGAATTGAGTAGAACACGTGTTTTTGTTTGCCAGTGACTCAGAGTTTGCCAGTGACTCAGACCTAACCTTTGTGTATCACAGTTTTCCCAGTTGTCAAATGGCTGTAAAAATAGTTTATGATGTTGTGAAGTGGAAGTAGTGGTTGTGGTGGGATACTTTAGTATTCACAGGAAAAGTTTTGGTTGAAACGTCATACTATTTATCACTTGCTTGGTCAAAGCAAAAGAGAAATGGAACAGACAAAATAAATTTCTTGGTCTTTAAGAACTTGAAGTTGAATTTTCTACTATCTCTTGAGGATTTTAATTCTTCTTCAAAAGTGGTATGAGCCACTCACGTACAATTTAGCTTCTTACTTTGCTAGTATTATTTTTTGGTATTCTCCTGAGTAGGGGAAAGTGTGAATCAAGGGAGCGGCAAATTTAGAAATGATTTTAAACTAAAATGTTTGATGCTTTGCAGTTTCATTGACGGTTTTCCTAAGCAATATATCCATGGTTTAATTTCATAATTTGGAGTGTTGTAAATCACATTAGCCTTTATCCACATGAAATTTGCCAATTTCTTCTGAATTAGTCTCCAGTTTGTTTCTTTAGAGTGCTGTAAATTTCACACAGGCCTCATGCATGTGGAAGTGCATTGCAAAATTTAATTTAAATACAAATAGACTTTACATTTACCCCCTGTTCTTTTTTTTTTTTTTTAAGATTTTTTTATTTATTTATTTATACAAGCACTGGGTACAGTCAGAAGCGTGGGAGGGTGAGAGAATTCACCAGAGCCAGAGTGGGGAGCAGAGCAGAGCAGGCAGAAGGACTGAAGTACACTGCTGAGGGGAGCAGCGGGCGGCAGGAGAGGTCTGCGCGCCATGCGGGACCCTCCTCTGGTGGCCGGGGAGCAGCTGGGGATAGAACCGGCGCCGCGGAGGCTTCGGGCAGCTTCGCAACCCAGTGTTCAACCGCTGTGCCACCGGGGAGGCCCTACCCCCTGTTCTTAATATTCTACTCCTTTTATAAACTTGAACAATCAAGAAGAGGTAACTACCTAAGAAGTTACTCCTTATGGGCCTCCCTGGTGATGTAAGGGACTAAGCACAGCACTATGAAGCTATCCACAGACTCTGCAGCAAGAGTTCGATCCCTAGCTGAGTCCTCTCACCCCGCCCCCACACTCTGGCCTGTAACCCAGTTCTTATATGCATAAATTTAAAAATCTTTAAAAAAAATTTTTAGAAAAATTTTTTAAAAATGAAGTTACTCCTTTTTACTTCAAGAAACTTTCCATGTTTGAGTCTATCTTTTTCATGACTTTAAGATGTGTTAAAATAAAACTTTTGCCATGAAGCTCATCATAACTAAGTTTAGGCTCAATTTCAAAATCTCCCTTTAGCCTAGGGCTCTGTCATCATTAACAGTTCTTTTCCTCATTACTACTTCTTCATTTTCCCTTTCCCTCTAGTTTTGTTTGGTTTTAAAATCCTTATTTTAATTGGTTTGTGGTTTTTGTGTTTCTGGTCTTACTGTGAACCACCCCAAATACAATTTTTTTTTTTTTTAAAGATTTGTTCTTTGTTACTTTATACAATAGCTGGGGTACAGGCTGGAGGCGCGGGAGGGTGAAAGGATTCACCAAAGACAAAATGGGGAGCAGAACAGGCACAGACCGAAAACACTGCTGAGGGGAGCAGCAGGTGAGACAGGAGAGATCTGCCACGCCATGTGGAATCTCGCTACTCTGTGTCTCAGTAATTTCACCCCTTGATAGGTGCTCAAGAGAAATAAGTGTATGTGTTCCCCAAACATGTTTGCTCACAGTAACTTTACTCATAATAACACTAGAAACAACCTAAATGTTCGTAAACTTCTAGATTTGTTTAAAAGGAATAATATACAACAGATTATAAAAAGAACAAATTACTAATAAATGCATCTTGGGTGATATCAAAAATTTATCGTTGAGTGAAAGAGGCCAGACATGAAAGAGTAAATATTAAATGAGTTTAATTTTTATGAAGGCTAAGAATACACAGCACTAAACTATGGTGCTAGAGATCAGAATTCCACCTGTTGTGGAAAGAAGGGAAGGTAGAAAAGGAGCATGAGAAAATCTTTGAGTCATAAAAATGATCTGTCTGTCATCTGGTTGGGGCTAATTGGGTACTAACATATGCAAAAACTCACTGAACTCTATGCTTAAAATTTTTGTAATTTGCATGAGTTGTACCTCAGTGAAATAAATAATTTTAAAAGAGTGGTAGTTCAAAGAGGGAGGCTCTTATTGTTTAAGATGGGAAAACTCTAAAGGGAGTTTAATCTTTTTCTTGTATTTGTTTTGACTCATACATTTTCATTTGAGCAATCTGGGAAAATAATAAGTCATAAAGATATACCTTTCCTTAGTTAGGAAAAGTAATTCTAATATAAGGACTAGTTAGTGATTTCAATATGAAAACTATTTTTACTATTGTATTAGTTTTTTTTTTTTAAACATTTATTTATGCATACAAGAGCTGGGGTACAGGCCCGAGGTGCGGTGGGTGAGAGGATTCACCAGAGACGGAGTGGGGAGCAGAACAGGCAGATCTACTGAAATACACTGCTGAGCAGTGGGTGAGACAGGAAAGGTCTGCTGCGCCATGTGGGTCCAGCTCCCTGCTGGCGGTCATACTCATGCCGCAGTGGCTGGCAATAGCCTGATATAGCTGAGACTTTAACCCCTGCGCCTCTAGGGAGGCCCTAAAATAAATTGTTAAAAGTAATTTACAAAAGAAACTATATTAAGAAGTACTGGATTGTGTGTTTTGGTATATAGGGATGGTGAGAAAAAGGAAGAAAATGGTATTTTTTGGTTTTCTAAATAGTTTAGCATCCTTTGTAAACTGTAATTCCCAAACTGCTCTCTCCCTCAAAATGGCCCAGGAATTTAACAGAAGGAAAATAAAGCTGAGTGAAAAGGGAGCCACATCATGTTCCTATTTTCTCCTATGTCTGAACCATTTATTATTTCTTTAAGACTTGCTACAATTTCAATTTTGTTTCATATTTGACAGTCTGGCATAAACGCTAGTTATGTAATAACATTCGATATTGATTTTTTTTTACCATAATCTTACAGATTATCTGTGGTAGTAACAGGTATTTAGATTAAATCTATGTTTATTATAGCATGTGGTATACCTTTCTGTATTCTTGATCATTGCTATTCTCATTTAAAGGAAAAAACCAAGTGAATAAAACATCGCCCCCACCAAAAAAACCAAAAGATTAAAATCAAGGGTACCGAGTAGCAAAGCTGCTTGCACATTCCATGAGTGGTGCACAGAAAGATTCCTTGTTAATCCCATACAATGAAATCTCTGCATGTCTGTTTGTTTTTTTTTTTTTAATTTTTTTTAAGATTTATTTATTTAGGCATACAAGAGCTGACGTACAGGCCAGAGATGTGGGGGGTGAGAGGATTCACCAGAGACAGAGTGGAGAGCAGAACAGGCAGACTGACTGAAATACACTGCTGAGCAGAGCAGCGGGCGAGTCAGGAGAGGTCTGCTGCGCCATGTGGGTTGCTCCCTGGCTGGCTGGGGATCGAACTCGTGCTGCAGAGGCTGTGAATTGCTTCATACTGCGGTGCTTAACCCCTTGCGCCACCAGGGAGGCCCCTCTGCATGTCTGTTTTTTTAATGTAGTCCATGAGAGCACTCCAGATGGTTTATGAGGTATAGTCCTTTGTAGAACACTGGCCTTTTTATTTTGATATGAATTTTTTTAGATTGATATGAATTTTTATTCTTTTTAAGTTCTCATAATAAATAGTATCATTTTCATATCTCAGCAGTTGCTTATGTATACTTTCTCAAAACAGAAAAATATAGGTACCTTTTGTGTGGCCAAAGCTATCTGCATCTTTTTTTAAAAATTGAAAATCAATATTATACTATTATTAATTCGGTCTAATAAATGTTATTCCTGGTGCTTTCTCCTGCTTCTGTAATTTCTTTGTTTGATGTGCGTGTTGTAAAAATCTTTGTACCCTGATCCTGAAAAAGTGCTCACATGAACCAAAATAAACTAAAATTTCAGAGAGCTTCATGGAGCTGAAATTAAGAACTCCCACACAATAACAAAAATTATAAGTTGTATATTGAGAAAAGTTAAGTTCTTGGGGAGAATTTCCAATTTTTCCATCAATAACTGCCTGCTTCTATGCTCTGTATATGTTCCTCTTGTGTTAAATCCTAGCCAACTACCAAATTTTTACCATACTAAGTAAATAAATAGTAAAGTTCTCAAAGGAGGAAAATGTAGAAATGAAGGGAAGGGATATATATATCCTGTTGTCTTCTAGAAAACTTTGTTTGCCTGTGTGATTTAGAAAGATTGGACAGGGCCTCCCTGGTGGCGCAAGGGGTTAAGCACCGACTATGAAGCAATCCACAGCCTTTGCAGCACGAGTTCGATCCCCTGAGTTCGATCCCCTGCCGGCCAGGGAGCAACCCATATGGCGAAGCCGACCTCTCCTGTCTTGGCCGCTGCTCCCCTCAGCAGTGTACTTCAGTCAATCTGCCTGTTCTGTTCCCCACTTTGTCTCTGGTGAATCCTCTCACCCCACTACATCTCTGGCGCATACCCCAGCTCTTGTATGCATAAATAAATAAATCTTAAAAAAAAAAAAAAAAGATTGGACAGTTCACATACTTTTTTTATTTTCCCTCTCTAGTTTCTACTAGCTGGAAATATTCTTTTAGCAAATAAAAATTGTTATTAATGAGGCCATTTTAATGAGTCCATTGAACTTGATATCAATCAGTAAATATTTACTATGCCATACGATAAGTTGAATTTAAAATTTCTTAAATTCCAATTATCTGTGATAGTTAGTTGGGTAGGTGGCACATAAATAGTAATTAGGATATTAAGATTATCACTAAAAATAGTGATTAACAAGTTATTAAACAGCTATCAAGCAATGTGATAAGTAGGTGAGGCTACTATAATGCGATAACTAAATCCTTCATCCTCTTAATAATATGAATAATCATATGAGATTACCGTTGAAATGCCCATTTTATATATGAGGACAAGCCATTTAAGATCAGGAAGTGAGTAGCAGAGCTGGAACTTGAATTGAGACTTCTCTGGCAACAAGGTCTGTTGCCAATATGCCATATTACTGCAGATACCACTTATTTAGTTTTTTTTTTTTTTTCGGTGTGTATAAACAAATCATAGGATTAAATATATCTTAGGTTAGACCCAGGTCTTTAGCTTCATGAATGATGATCCTATTTAGAATAGAAAATGTTTATTATTATTGGTTGTTGGATCAGAAGAAGGGGTTGGATCTTAGCTGGAGTAATCTTATTGCAGAAAGACGTCGTCAGAGCAAGACTGTGTATGTATTCTTTTTTTTTTAAAGAATTTATTTATTTATGCATACAAGAGCTGGAGTACAGGCCAGAGGTGTGGGGGGTGAGGATTCACCAGACAGAGTGGGGAACAGAACAGGCAGACTGACTGACTGAAATACACTGCTGAGGGGAGCAGCAGGCTTGAGTACGGAGAAGTCTGCTGCACCATGTGGGTTGCTCCCTGGCCAGCCGGGGATTGAACTTGTGCTGCAGAGGCTGCAGATTGCTTCATAGTGCAGTACTTAACCCCTTGTGCCACCATGGAGGCCCTGTGTATGTATTCTTAAGCTATTAAAGAACCACTTTGGGGCCTCCCCGGTGGCGCAGCGGTTGAGCGCTGGGCTGCGAGGCTACCTGCAGCCTCTGAAGTGCCGGTTTGATCCCCAGCCGCTGGAGAGGTTCCCACATGGCGCGCAGACCTCTCCTGCTGCGCCCACTGCTCCCCTTAGCAGTGTGTTTTGTCAGTCTGCCTGTTCTGTTCCCTGCTGTGGCTCTGGTGAATCCTCTCACCCTCCCGTGCTTCTGACTGTACCCAGTGCTTGTATAAATAAATAAATAAATCTAAAAAAAAAAAAAAAGAACCACTTTGTCTTTGTTGCTCTTTTTAAAAATTTATCTCCTCGGGCCTCCCCGGTGGCGCAGCGGTTGAGCACTGGGTTGCGAAGCTGCCTGCGGCCTCTGCAGCGCCGGTTCGATCCCCGGCTGCTCCCCGGCCACCCGAGGAGGGTCCCACATGGCGCGCAGACCTCTCCTGCCGCCCGCTGCTCCCCTCAGCAGTGTACTTCGGTCCTTCTGCCTGCTCTGCTCCCTGCTCTGGCTCTGGTGAATTCTCTCACCCTCCTGTGCTTCTGACTGTACCCAGTGCATGTATAAACAAAAAAACAAACAAACAAACAAATAAATAAATAAACATGCCTCTATTTAAAAAATAAATAAATAAATCAATAAATAAAAAAATAAAAATTTATCTCCTCACTGTTATCTTTATCTTGGTATAGTTCAGAAAATGTTGTACAAAGAGGAGTCTTACTTGTTTTTATTCTTTTTTTTTTCTTACTTGTTTTTAATGTCATGATTTCTACAATGAAGAGAAGAGATAGGAAATCAAAGTTCATATATTATTTTATTTTTTTTTTATTTTTTTTTTATTTTTTTTTTTTAAATATTAAATTTTATTTTTATATTCCCCCATACAATTGCAAACGCCCCATTCTGACCCCAATCCTTCCCCTCCCGCCCCCCACCCCCAAAAAGTGTCTCTGGTTCATAGTTTTTTTGTTGATTTTGATTTTCACTTTCTTATATTCATATATTATTTTAGAGGAGGGTAAGGATCCCATAACATATCTTTTAGGATCTTCATCAAAGGAAACTGAAACAGTAGTCAAAGTACAACTGTCTGATTAACAATCAATTTCTGTGTATTTCAGTGAATTTCTAACAGTTCTGATGTAGCATTAATTGTGGAATAACTGCTATCTGTTAGAATCTTTGGAAAGATTTTAAGCATTGTAGCTAAATAGATTATAAAGGTGGTACCATTTCATTGGAACAGTAGGAGATGGTAATGGTAGGAAATAGGAAATAATTGAAAACTGATCATCTTTTCAGTTTTGTATATGCTATATGACCTAGGGTATGAGGAAGAAGATTTATTTATAAAATTAAGTATGTCCCAAGAAATTGATAACAAATACAAGACCCAGGCTGAGGGCCTCCCTGGTGGCGCAAGGGGTAAAGTGTCAGCTCTAGGAAGTGATACGCAACTACTACAGCACGAGTTTGATCCCACACTGGCCAGGGAGCAACCCACATGGCCCAGCAGACCTTTCCTGTCTAGCCTGCTGCTCCCCTCAGCAGTGTATTTCAGTCAATCTGTCCATTCTGCTCCCCACTCTATATCTGGTGAATCCTCTCACCGCCCCCCACACCTCTGGCGTGTAACCCAGCTCTTGTATGCATAAATAAATAAATCTTTTTTTAAAAAAAAAAGAAAAAAGACCCAGGCTGAAAGATACACTGAGAATATCCAGTTCTGAACCAAGTGATGCTTTTCCCACTAATTCTTTTTTTTTTTTCTTTACAGACATTCCATACACCAAGTTTGGGTGATGAGGAATTTGAAATCCCGCCTATCTCCTTGGACTCTGATCCCTCACTGGCTGTCTCAGATGTAGTTGGCCACTTTGATGATCTTGCAGATCCTTCCTCCTCTCAGGATGGCAGCTTTTCAGCCCAATATGGGGTCCAGACATTGGATATGCCTGTGGGCATGACCCATGGCTTGATGGAGCAGGGCGGGGGGCTCCTGAGTGGTGGCTTGACCATGGTAAGGGGAAAGGCATTATTGGACTCATCCAAGCTCATGGGCATGGTATTAGAGGAGGCAAAAACAATTCTCTATTCCCTACCACACTTGGGTATTTCTTGTCACTGCAAAGACTTCATTTCCCCTGAATAAATGAGGTTGTTATTTGAATCAATTTCACTTGAAAAATGGTTTAAAATTACAAATAGTCCAGTATTAACCCTGAAATAAAAATGGTTTATTGTGATTGTCTTAGGGGGGTAAGCAAGGTTTTTCCTCCTCTTATTATTGCCTTCCCATCTTAGGATTTAGATGTATGATAGATAGCTGTCACATCAAGCAAGGGATTTATTTTAAAAACAGCCTGCATCCAATGTATCGATGTTGGATTAGTGTTGTAAATCAGCATATTGGATTTCCAGCACGTCTCTTTAGTAGCACATCTCCACACACTATATGGATGGCAAACCTCTCTATCATTAGTCTTATTTACTGTGAATCCTTGTATATTGCAAATAAAGTGTTTATTTTGTGAGGGTACAAGGAAGTTTTTCTTTACTTTGTATAGTGTCACTACCTCCAGTTTACTAAATAAGTTATTTGCTGTTTTTGCTTGTCCAGAATTAAGATTTCACTGGTTATTTTTAGTTAGAGTAGGCCTTTGCATACAAAAAATGAGTTTACTAATTCTGTACTTTGTTTAAAAGCTTAATGTTTATAGAAGACACATTATTTGATCATATCTAGAAGTTAAACAAGGACACAGTCTAGTTAAGTGGGGTTTATAAATTGTCTTAAATTTGGGGCAGAGGTAGTGGTGGTTTTTATATTTAGAATTTAATTAATCTTTCTGCTTTTCTCAGGACTTGGAGCATTCTATAGGAACTCAGTATAGTGCCAACCCACCTGTTACAATTGATGTACAAGACATGGCATCTAGCTTGATACCGCATAGCACGTTGACCACAATTGATCAATCAGAACTGAGTTCTCAACTTGGTTTGAGCTTAGGTGGTGGCACCATCCTGCCGCCTGCACAGTCACCTGAGGATCGTCTTTCAACCACCCCTTCACCTACAAGCTCACTTCATGAAGATGGTGTTGAGGATTTCCGGAGGGTAAGGCCTTCCCTGCAAATAATCAAATCTGCCATTATAGGCCTCCCTTGTGGCACAAGTGGTTAAGCATGGCACTATGAAGCAATCCGCAGCCTCTGCAGCGCGAATTCAATCCCTGGCTGGCCAGGGAGCAACCCATATGGTGAGGCAGACCTCTCCTGTCTCACCCGCTGCTCCCCTCGGCAGTGTATTTCAGTCAGTCTGCCTGTTCTGCTCCCCACTCTGTCTCTGGTGAATCCTCTCACCCACTGCATCTCTGGCCTGTGCCCCAGCTCTTGTATGCATAAATAAATAAATCTTTAAAAAAAAAATCTGTCATTTTAGTCTAGAATGAAAGTCTTGGCCTAACAAGCCTACTCAGGGTTCTTTACTCCTGCTTTACCACCTTCTCTTCTTTTTTCTCACTCTCAATTTACTTTTATCCTCCCAATCCCTAATTTTTTTTAAGATTTATTTTTTTATTTATGCATAGAACTGGGGTGTAGATCAGAGATGCGGGGGTTGAGAGGATTCACCAGAGACAGAATGGTGAGCAGAACAGGTGGATCTACTGAAATACACTGCTGAGAGGAGCAGCAGGTGGGACAGGGGAGGTCTGCTGCGCCATATGTGGGTCAGCTCCCTGGCTGGTGATTGAACTCATGCCGCGATGGCTGGCGATAGCTTAATAGTGCTGAGACTTTAACCCCTGCGCCACCAGGCAGGCCCCCCATTCCCTGTTCTTATTGGCCCTCACATAATTTACTAAAGTCTTAATCCTTATTACCTCTTTTTAGCATTTCTGAAAATTCCATCCACATGGTCTCTTTCCCTCAGACAAAAGTCCTTTTTTGTAGTTCTCTAGACACAGTACATTCCTTCTTCCGTCTTATAGTTCTTTCTTTTCTCCCTACAGCAAGTTCCCAGCCAGAAGGCAGTTGTGGTGGAAGTAGGGAAAAAGCAGAAGGCCCCGAAGAAGAGGAAAAAGAAAGATCCTAATGAGCCCCAGAAACCAGTCTCGGCATATGCTTTATTTTTCCGTGATACACAGGCGGCCATCAAAGGACAGAATCCCAATGCCACTTTTGGGGAGGTTTCGAAAATTGTGGCCTCCATGTGGGATAGTCTTAGAGAGGAACAAAAACAGGTAAGCAAATAATGAGGAATTAGTAAGGAATGAACGTTCCAGAAGCTTTTAAGGGGATTAAAAACGAAGATGTGTCCGTCTTTCTTACATATTCTTAATGTCAACTCCTTGTTAATGACATTCAGTATCATCCTTTATTTCAGAAGTTGCAGCTATATATCAAATCAGAATACACTTCTAAAAATTTATTATGAAAACAAAGCTAACTTTTTCCAGGCCTTGTTTTTTGTTGTTATCTGTGAAATTAGGCTGTTCCTTGGTAAGCTGCATACTGTAGCTATTTCTAAAATCCATTACAAAGTTTAGATTAAGCATTTAGTTTAGGGCTTTCTCATTGGCCTAAGTGTAAATTAGAAAACCTAGTTAATCTCCCAAAGTTTATTAAAAAATAAGTGAAAGTCGTGATACTATTAAAGATACAGTTGAAGATGACTATAATTATCATCCTAGACTCCCCACACAAGATTCCTCCTGTCAAATATTTGAAACAAAAAAACTGGCTTCTCATCCTCCAAATAAGCTAGACTGGCTTCCTCACAGTATGACAGGCTTAGAGCAGTGTTCCAAGAGAGCAAAGAAAAAAAAAACCTTAAGGGGTTTTTTGTATCATGTCAACCATATTCTAACAGTCAAAACTTAGTCACAGAACTAGCCCAGATTCAAAGGAAGAGTAAGTAGTTTTCCACTCTTGCTGAAGAAAAGGCATGCAGGGTAAAATTCTTGTGGGCCATTGTTGCAAACAATTCTTCACATTCATTAAGAGAGATTATACTGGTTAAATACAATCCCAGGCTAAGCAGATGACCGATCTTAATTTTGGGGTCAGGATTTGTTTTGGTTACAGAAGTGGGTGTGGTTTCATATTAGTGTTAGAAGTGTACTTATTCTGGCGAGGCTTGTGTTGACTGGCTTTCAGATGCATTGTAACTGAAGAATCTGCCATGGAGGCTATTCTGGTTACTAGCTCTCAGAAGTGTATTTAATAAAGGAAATTTATTAGATTGACATGAATTGTCATTCACTGATGAATATTATAGAATTATCAGTCTTTTCTAGGAGTATGAGGACTTTTTAAATAGTCTTTCTTTCCTGTAGGTGTATAAGAGGAAAACTGAAGCTGCTAAGAAAGAATATCTAAAGGCGCTGGCTGCTTATAAAGACAATCAAGAGTGTCAGGTAAGAGGGTTAGGGTAGGTAGTGATTTAAACCAATATAAAGATTTTTGTTGATTTGTGGTTATAAGAAATACCACCCAGGGCTTCACTGGTGGCCTAGGCGTTAAATCTCAGTGCTGTCACCACTATGGCCTGAGACTGATCCCCGGCCAGGGAGCTAACCTACATGGTGCAGCAGACCTCTCCAGTCTCGCTCTCTGTTCTCCTCAGCAGTTTATTTCAGTAAATCCTCCTGTTCTCCCTGCTCTGTCTCTGGTGATTCCTGTCACCCCTTGCACCTCTGGCCAACAACCCAACCCACTTCTACGCAAAATAAAATAAATGAATTCTAGAACTTAATTTAAAGGAAAAAAAAATCTTGTGGAAAAAATCTCGTAGAATTAAAAACTTAAAAGTGGCTAACTGCTTTCCTGTTGTTTTCATCATAAACCTTGCCTGGCATTCTTTGTGAATTTTTTATTTTGTTGTTTACTTCAGTCAGTAGCACCCACATACCCACAGCGGCTCCTTTTCTTAATTCTGTCTCTCCCCTCCCCAGTCTGTGATGCATCTTTTGTTGGGAGGTAGATTGTATCCTGGGAAAGAGGGTTAATCTCCCAATGATGGGCTTTTTGGTTTTTTTTAGGCCACTGTGGAAACAGTGGAATTGGATCCAGTGGCGCCATCACAGACTCCTTCTCCACCTCCTGTGGCTACTGTTGACCCAGCATCTCCAGCACCAGCTACAACAGAGCCCCCTGCCCTGTCTCCTTCCATTGTTGTCAACTCAACGCTTTCATCCTATGTGGCAAACCAGGCATCTGCTGGGCCTGGGGGTCAGCCAAATATCACCAAGTTGATAATTACCAAGCAGATATTGCCATCTTCTATTACCATGTCACAAGGAGGGATGGTTACTGTTATCCCAGCTACAGTGGTGACCTCCCGGGGCCTCCAGCTAGGCCAAACGAGTACAGCTACTATCCAGCCCAGTCAGCAAGCCCAGATTGTCACACGGTCAGTATTGCAGGCAGCAGCAGCAGCTGCTGCTTCTATGCAACTGCCTCCACCCCGACTACAACCCCCTCCATTGCAACAGATGCCTCAGCCCCCAACTCAGCAGCAAGTGACCATTCTGCAGCAGCCTCCCCCTCTTCAGGCCATGCAGCAGCCTCCACCTCAGAAAGTTCGAATCAATTTACAGCAACAGCCACCTCCTTTGCAGAGTAAGATTGTGCCTCCACCCACTCTGAAAATGCAGACTACCTTAGTCCCACCAGCTGTGGAAAGTAGTCCTGAGCGGCCTATGAATAACAGTCCTGGGGCCCATACAGTGGAGGAAACCTCTCCTGAGACGATCTGTGAGATGATCACAGATGTAGTTCCAGAGGTGAGTGTTTAGACCAGTGGCAATCTATAAGAGTGTTTATGTTAACCAGTAAAAGTGGGGGTTGCTACTAGCATTTAGTAGCTGGCAACCAGGAGTATGTCTTGCAGAAATGTCTGCAAGAGGCAATTCCCTGTGACAGGGACTTGCCCCACCTGAGAGACTCTATAGTGTTCTTGGTAATATTATTCAATCTTTAAAGTACTACTAGCGTTCAACTAGAGCAGATACAACCTAAGCATAATTACTTTTTAGAGGTCTTTCCCCAAGGAGCCTAAGCTTTGGAGATATAAATCCTTTTCATTTCTCCTTCATTCTTGATGTTTGAGGTAGAGGGATGCATATGTGTAGTCCAGTATAGACGTGGTTTATCTTACTGTCTTGAACAGATAAATGCCAGTTACCCAGTTTTCCTTAATGTGTACATGACTATTAGTCATTTTAAAATATGGGTCTTTGAGAATCTTGAACCGTAATTAATGAAGCATCATTTAAATGAAAACACAAAACCAGACTTATATCAGAAGGAAATTGAATCTTTAAGTTCTCTTCCTTTTTCTAAGGGTACCACATGTAGTCTTATCTTAGCTTTCCTTAATCTTCGTTGAGGTGCCGTACCCTCTACTCACATTCTAGTTTTGATTTTTTTCTGAAAATACTATTCAAGTGTGGAGTCAAGTCAATGAGCATGTTTAAAACGTAAGAAATAGCGTATGTCCAGCACTCTGGATGCAAGAATTTCCTTACCAGTTTGTTTGGCAAAGTACTAAAGCTAAGTATCAAGGGGGACACTCACTGAGTACACACCTTTAAGAATTCTGCCTTTACCTGGAGGTATTAGCACCTGTTCCTCCATTGAGTCCAGACTTAATTTCACTAGCTAGCTAGCAGGTAATAATCTAATCAGTCTTTGTGTACTTTCTGCCTCACATAGGTTGAGTCTCCTTCTCAAATGGATGTTGAATTGGTGAGTGGGTCTCCTGTGACAATCTCACCTCAGCCTCGGTGTGTGAGATCTGGTTGTGAGAACCCTCCCGTTGTGAGTAAGGACTGGGACAATGAGTACTGCAGCAATGAGTGTGTGGTGAAGCACTGCAGGTGAGCTTATGGTTCCTTCTTTTAATTCAGGTATCACTAAATCAAATGTTTGAGACATAACCCTGAGTATACAGTTTTACCTAACTTAGGTATGGTAGGTTGCTATCTACGTATCTATAGATAGCTGATTCTAGAGCCTACTAAAAGTTACCCTGCATAAAGATACTACATTTACAGCAGCTGAAAATGACGTGATTAGCAGTGCATGCTTTCCAGTTAGCGCATTACCTAGGATTGCTCTTTAAAAGTATGTATTAAGCTGCAACTATGTATCTCTGGAGTTCAAATCAGACCACTGAGGGAATTAGAACATGGGGAGGATTAAAGTGAGTTAGGTAGTATAAGGTGCTAAATGTGACAGGAATGGGGGAAAATTGTGAAGAATTTTTTCCTTCCCATATTTTCCTAGGATTTATCTATATCCATAAAACAAAGCATTAGTGTTTCCTATCTCAAATGCTTTATAAATCAGGATTGCCCCTATTTCATACTTTTAGGCCCCCTTGCCCTTTTACTCACATTGAATGATATCATCTCACCTTGATGCTACAGGAAGTTATCTGGGAAGCTATTTAAGACAGTATAAAAAGAATACTGTTACTATAATTCTAAGTTTCTGTGTATCTTCTCTTTTAGGGATGTCTTCTTGGCCTGGGTAGCCTCTAGAAATTCAAACACAGTGGTGTTTGTGAAATAGTCCTTCCTGTCCTCCAAGCCAGTGAAGACTTATCTGCTGGGAACACGTCCAAGAGCCTTTTAACCAAATGGGCTTGGTAGTGCCTGATCTCAAACCATGATGGTCCTTTACGCTTTTTCCCTTTTTTCTTTCAATAGGGGCCACACTATGGAGCAGGGCCAGTGAGTTTGCTGTAATCAGGATTTGCTTTTTCCTTTTAAGTACAAGCAGAGATGCCAGTTATTAAAATAGCAGAGGAAAGGGTAAAGGGAAATGACAAGCAGAATATAGGGATGGGATGGCTGGCAGGGTGATGGTGGTGGGGTTGAGAAAACTTACTGGTGTAATTGTCACAGGACTTTCCTGAAAAATTATTAAAATGATGGGAGAGTATTCAGCTTTGAGTCCAGGGGAAAATACCAGTGTGTGCATCAATTTTAAAGGGGATAAAAGATTGCATTAAAGGTTATTTCTTGAACAGGGAACTGCTACTGTTAGATCTTAAGTGCTGCTCTGAGAACAGAGGTTTTCAACATAATTGGCACAGTGAACTGCAGGGAAAATAACACCTAGGAGTTTCTCTTTACATATTATTTCTGTAGTTGATATCCCTCTATCTGTATTACCATAGCTGTAAAAGGCTGTCTACATACTTAAATTAATATAAGTTTCACCATAATCTAAAGAAGTCTGTTCACTTGTATTTGATAAAGTATCTTAAAAAATAGGCAAGAAGTGTTTTCACCTAGCCGTCATATAGATTAATTCTCTGCATACCTCTGCCACTTATTTCATCCCAGTGTGCTCATTTTTTTTTCCTAGATGTAAGTTAAAGAATAGACAAGCAGAGCCACAAATTTTTAACATGATAAGCAAATATTTAGAGGGTGATAGTCCCCAGTGATACTTTAAGTGAAATTCAATCAAACCTTACACCTTAAGAAATGCTATTCCAGAGAACTTCCGTATTAACCACCATGTTCACATAGTACTGATTGCTAGTCACTTTGATCCTGTAGTGTATAATCAACATTTTAATGTGTTCCTTGCATTCGTTTAGTTTGAACCCTCACAACAACCCATGAGGTAGGTAATAATCCCATTTTATGTATGAGTCAGACTGAGATGAACTACACAAAAACACCACTGTTAAGTAGCAGAGCCAGAATTTGACCTCAAAATCCCAACCACAATACAAACTTTTATTTAAATAAGGAGAAAAGACTACTGTACAATATTACTCTTCAGGTGCAGCCTGTAGAGCCATGGCCTTGAATTGCTTAGCTGTGAGGAAGTGCTTCATAGATTCTTAGGTTTAGAGATGATACCATCTGGATACCTTTGCTTGAACCGAGCAACGACATCTGGGTCTAGTAGATGGATCCCATCCAGCTGGTTTCCAAGAGTAATCCTTGAAGCAAAGGAAAAGAAGGGGCAAATCAAAAATCCTAGAATTAAAAGGCTTTTAATATTATTTAAAAAAATGTATACCTTTTATTAAGATTGCCTTTCATCTCATGAAATATCCATTCTAATTCTTTTTTAAAGATATTACTGGTAGAATAGTATATGGTAGATGACTGATTAAGAACTGGGCGTAGATGCTAGTATGAAAACATGCTGGATTTATTACTACTTAAAAAAGGTTAATACCTGATGGCTAACTAAGCCTACTTCACAAAGTGGCTGCTACAAGTGGGTATTCTTTGGGTAAGTAAAATGCTAGCAGCAGGTCTTTTAAACTCTGCTAAAGGGATGAAAGTTAGAGACTGTTGTCGACAGATTAAATTCTTTAATAACCACCAGGGGGCAGATACCACACATCCAATAAAATAAAAGGAAGTGCCTTAGGTGAAAGCAAATGGAGACCGTAGAGATCAGTGGTTTAGTTCTACCTGCTGGATTTCCAATCAATGTTTTGAGATCCCATAAACATTTTAAATACAAGCTTAGGTGACTTATGAATCCTCTGAAGCCAACTTATTTGTGGACTGTGAGATGAAACTACTAACTTTTTCCTTGACCAAACACAGTTCTGCCCTTAGGGGTCAGCCTGTTGTCTTACCAGTTGGGTTGCACATTGTGTGGCCGTCCAAATAACTCAATCTTGCGAGTGCCAGGTGACAGTCTCTCAATCATGCCATAAATTTCATCTGGTTTATGACTGGTGGAACGAACCTAGAAATAAAGGCTCTAGCTACTTTTAAGTTACCTAAGATTACAGTTCTAGACTTTTCCAGTATGTTTATGGTCCAAATGAGAGAACCTGGGATAACAATACATCTCATTTAAATAAATGATACCAATTAAAATGCCTAAGCTATGAATGTCCTGGGGAAGCACATACCTCAGCTACGATCACATCACAGTCCAGACCCTGGTTGAAGCCTTGGGGATTTCCTTTGACACCAACCTGCTCGCCACAGAGAACAAATAATTACCCTATGAAACCCCAGCATTTGAACTTTTTTTTAAGAAATTAAACAAATGAGCCTCCCTTGGTGGCACAAGAGTTAAAGTCTCAGGGCTATCAAGCTATCGCCAGCACTGAGGCATGAGTTCGAACCCCTCCCTGGCCAGGGAGCTAACTTACATGGCGCAGCAGAACCTATCTTGCCTACTGTTCCCCTCAGCATTGTATTTCAGTAGATCTACCTGTTTTCTCCTCCCCCTCCCCCACTCTGGTGAATCCTCTCACCCCCTGCACCTCTGGCCTACATCCTAGTTCTATGCATAAATAAATAAAAATATATCTTTAAAAAGAAAAAACAATTCCTTTTTTGCTCCACCTATTGAATTAGGCCCACTGCTGCTCACCAAGCAGTGTTCCTTCCCATGGTTCAACCAGTGACCTGTTCGGCCTGTCCGAATGATACGCTGCAGTTGATTTGTCTTCACCCAGATAATTTCATCTACCCGTTCATACCTGTGGACCACAACAAAGAGAATTAGAGCTATAACTAGGCTTTCACAATTTAGGGGTAGTACCATCTATTTTAGAGGCAAGACATCATGGAATACTCTGGGAGAAGGGAACATATCTACAGCAATTATGTATTTCCCTCAAAAGAAAAAAGAAAGCAACAGTGATCTCTACTTACCCCCAGAGGTTCAGGCATTCTCTGCCCAACTCCATGGCCCTAGAAAGAAAGGATTACAAAGCTATTTTCATGCCCATATATTTTTTCCCCTTCAAGATGTGTTTTCATTAGATATTCCATGAACATTTACATGCAAGTGTACCATTAGGGAACAGACTGGATCCAAGAATGAAACAGTATCTGTTCTCAATGTCCATACATTTCACCAGAAGCAAACAGAATTAAATATAATTCAAGGTATCATCTGTGTTATAAACAGGCATTAATTAGGTCATAGTAGGGAAAAAAGCAGACTCAGTCATACTCTTTAATAGCAGGAAACCCCAGGATTTTATCCCCACCCAGTACTCACTCTGTACTATATCTGCCCATACCTACATATCTTTGAACTGCATTACCTGCCTGTGACCCAGAGGAAGAGAAAGCCATCATCCTGCAGTACTGGTATGTTGAGCCTGCGCATCTCATCATCTGTCAGGGTCCCATAAGGCAGCTCCATGTGAATATCCCAGGGTGGGTCAGCCATCACAACTGCAAACTTGCCCAAGATACTGACGTCCAGGTAGCGGATATCACAACAGATCCACTGCATAAGGTGGTATTTGGTCATCTTCCCTTCCTTCACTCTCAGATGCAAGGCCCCAGACCCTCCTTGCCATATGACTTTCCTATTCCCTTATAAGGGTGTCTTCTCCCACTCCATTCCCAATCAGCAAGAGATTGCCAATTATACCCTGCTCTCCTGTATGTCTGGCTGTATACTTAAACCTAAGTCATAAGTTAAATTTTCTGACCAAGCAGGTACCTGAGGTGGGAAGAGTCGATCTGCATTGGAGTCGCCTCCAACACTCTGTGTAAGAGCAAGTTCCTGGCTTGGTGTATGGTCTTTACTGCCAGGAGCCTCAGAATCCATGCAAGCGTCAATTTCATAGTGAACGTATTTGCAAGTATCCATGTGGAAACATGTATTAAGGAAAGAGCAGTCACCTAATGACTCATCAGTGTGTTTATTGATGATTCGTCTGAAGGAATAAAAAGAATCAGAATAGTGCACTAGAGTTAGATCCCACAGTTTGAAGTCCAAGTCATTTCAAAACTTCCTTTCATTACCCACTCCTAATTTTTTCTATTTAGCACCTCCTCCAGTTTTCAGACTGGAAGTTAGGTAAAACCCATACTTCATACTAAAGAAGAGTTGTAATTCCTCAATGATGAAAGATAAATCCTTATAACAGGAAGGGAGCGCTTGCTGGTTAGAGCAGAACAAAACTGACCTAAATTAAGTTCAGGTTCCCGTTTTTCCTAGCTGATAACCTTTCAGGGAACTTTTTATCTATCACATCTGCTCAGAGACAGCGATACCTTGCATTACAAGAAGTGGCGTTACCAAAAAAAAAAAATATTTGGGAGGGCAGCCTGTATTCTCTCCCAGAAAACACTACTTCTGAAAGTAGAACTTGCAATCCAAGACAATCCATAGACTAACTGATAGAATTAAAGAAAACTTCAATGACTGGAAGGAATATGCTGAAAAGGAATGACTGCTTTGAAGAGGCCCATCCCCACCCTTCCCCTTCCCAAGAGACCTGAAATGTAGCTTGCGACAGGGCCGGTCAGCATCACTGGCTTTCATGCACTCCTCCTTGGTTCCATAGTCACAGAACTCTTGCACCTGGGCCCGACCTCGTGAGCGAAACTTTTCAACAATGGATTGTTCCTTAGCTGTTGTCGTATTTAATAGCTCTAGGATCTCCTGACTGACCTATGATGGAAGAAATTTTGTACTTAAAAAGGGCTGACAGAGGGCCTCCCTGATGGCTCAAGGAGTTAAGACGCAACCTATGAAACTGTCTGCAACCTCTGCAGCATAAGTTCGATCCCTGGCCAGGATGCAACCCACATGGTGCAGCAAACCTCGCCTGTCTCACCTGCTGCTCCCTTCGGCAGTGTTTTTCACTCATTCTGCCTGTTCTGTTCCCCACTCTGTCTCTGGTGAATCTTCTCACCGCCTACACCTCTGGCCTGTACCCCAGTTCTTATATGCATAATTTTTTTTTTTTTAAAAAAAGGGCTGATAGATAAAAATTGGTCCTTAAACTATCTCTAAATTCTAACTGACATTAATGTCCCATAGGGGATATATACACGCTAATTTAATCAGAGATTTGTCTCAGGTTCCATTCTTTCTCACAAATCTGCATTTGGAATGGAATTAAAATACGACGAGGTTCATACTGCTAAACATTAAGCTAACCTCCCCTCTCCAGGAAAACACTGCTTCCTACAAAATACTGGTATTTATT